ATGCCAGGTCCAGGCTGGCGTTGCACACTTGGGGTCAGGGTTGGCTTACTTAGCCTGATCTTGGTTTTTTGTTTTTCTTGGGAATTTAATTTGTTTAAAAAAGAAGTTTTAGAAACCTAATTGCTTCAAAAGTTTTTGCGCAGATTGGCTGAAAAAAGTAAGCTTCAGTTTCCTTCACTGGAGATTATATAACAAATGCTAATATAGAATTTCATATTTAGAAAAAAATACCCAAAACTTGGAAATACCTAAATGTTAATTTTTTCAACTTATGCATATCCAAGGATAAGATTTGCTCAATCTATAGCAGACATCAAGTCAGTGTTTTATACAATGGCAGACTGGGTGTTTCTGTTCTTCTGTTTGAAATTATCTGTAACTTGTCTACCTCTTCCTGAATTTTTCTCTTAACTTCAAATTTCTTTTTCATTACAACCAGTGTTGTGTACCATTAGAAATTTAAATTATATCTGGTGCAGTTTGTACATACTGGGGGGTATATTTACATAATACTTTTAGGCAGCCAAGATAATTTTCATAACTCCAGCAGAATATTTCAGAGTCCTTATTGATGAGATGTTCTAAAAGTTGTACAAGAAGGAAACGCACTTTTGTGAGTCAGAGACCCTTCACAGGGAAATATGTCCTGCATGTTATATTTTTATTTTTTTTTTTAATGGTACAAAAATTTTTCTTTGTTGTGGGTGTTCTTTCATATGGGCTTTAGTTTATCTCACAGAAATGTGCTTTTAAGAAGTGAAAACAATATCACCAATTGAGATATTTCATTAAATTTCAATGAGGTAATTAAGGAAACTCATTTTCAAAATACATATTTGTTTCACTAGCTTGAATGTGCCTTAATCAGGAAATGACCAGAATGCAAAATTTAGTTAGGTTCTACCTATCTGTATTAGCAGCTTAGGAATCAGCCTGTTGAAGAGAAAACCACGGAGGTTAAAATGACAAAGCCTTTTGCTGTGGGTGGAAACTAATTGGCTGAAAACATTAATAAATTATACTTGCTATTCATGTCAAGAAACAGCTAAGAGACAAGGGATGAATATTTTTTTACCTATCAAGGCATTACACTTTGCCACATGTTAAAAATAAAAAGTATAGCTTTGAACTTAAGCAGCTTTTCCTGTTATAAGTAAGAGGAATAAAAGCTAAATTATTTGGCAGTGTCTCCTTGTGGATATTATAAAATGTTTTATATTTGACATTTTTATCCAATAAAATATTGCTGAGGGAGTTATCTAGGAACTCTAACGTAAAACATGCATTATCAGGACCACCGTTAGGGTTGTGCTAAAATGGTTTTGATTTAAAACCTTTAATTTCAAGGCTAGATGAGTGTTTGTTATGGCGTATAGCTTGGTGATGGTGACCCCTCCCCTTCAAAGGCCTCATGAGGTCTTAGGTGGAGCTTTTTGGAGAAAGCTAATCTAGAATGTGAGAAGCTGGGATTGGTTCATGGTGTAATGCTAGGATGAAGGCATCCTCACCCTGGCTGTGAGTACGAGGATGGGTAGCATTGATAGAATATAAGGCACAGAAAAAGGGCTCCCGTGTCTGCTCGTTGCTTGCTGATTTTGCTACCTTCTGCCTGCCATGAACTGTCTCTCCTCTGTCATGCTCCCCTGCAATGCCACTCTGCCTTGGATCCAGCCAGTTATGGACTGAAACCTCTACAAGCTGTGAGCCAAGATAAACCTTTCCTCCTCTAACTTTAGGTGTTGAGAAAACTAAGACAGTCTTTTTCTTTTTTTCCTGTCCCTGCGATGTGTTTGAATGCCTGCTGCTCATATACAGTAGCCAGAGATTGTACATGGTCCTGTCCCTAAAACTGACCTCATAAGCACTGGAACTACAGAGAAAAAATGTAAATGAGCTGATGGTCATTCTGCTTGCTGTGCTATGAGTAATAAGGTCCTTCATGTTTGACCCAGGAATCTCAGATCATCTATCAGTGACAGATTCTAGTAGTATAATGTTGTTAATCTTAAATTGAATGATTAGGTATTGTAGTCTCTACAAGCTTTTACAAACAAGTTGTATTTTTTTTCCTCCAATGTTTATAAAATTTTCATAAGCAGACTTATGAACTTAATTCTTTTTTTAAAATTTTTTGTCTTTTTCTTTTTTTATCGGTACCGGGGATCGAACTCACGACTGCGTACTTGCAAGGCAGGCGCTTACGCTGCTGAGTTAAATCCCCAGCCCCTTTTGTTATTTTTTTTTTTTATTTTTTAGTCTTTTTCTAAAATTCTTGACAAAGTACTTTTTAAAAATTCTTGTCAAAAACCAACAAAAACTTGTCATTTCAGGGTCTATCTTTTAAGTTTCAACTTACTCTTCTTTCTGAAGCTTTCTGCTGCTGTGGGGCTCTGTGACTCTCCTGTGCTGTCATCCCTTACTACATACATCCTCCCACCTTAACACTTGTTTGAATATCTTTGTGCTATTCTCTGGTGGTGTTTTCTTGAGTTGTTCCAAACTATAGTATAAGTTATGTTAAAGTGGTTGGAATCTATATTTTGGTATCTTCTTTCACATCCCTAAGGTCCTAACATAGTAAGTCCTTAATAGGTGCTCAGTTAAGCCATTGCATTGCTTAGAAGTCTTATCAAAGGACTGTAGTCAAGAGACAATCATACTTTCTGTAGAGAGTCGAGGAGTTAGCTGCAGACAGTTAACTGACTTATATCAAAAGACCTGAGTTTGAGTCTCAGCCCTTTTGCTTAATTAACCTAGTGATATTTGGTACATGATTTAACCTATGTCTTTATCAAACATTTATGAACTCCTAAGTTTCCTCTTAGCCAACATATCCTAAGATAATGTGCCTTTGGGTTGCTATAACAGAATATATAACATGATTTAGGGTAATGCTTTTAAAAAGAAGTAGAGTTTTTTGGCTCATGATTCTAGTGGCAGGAAAGTTCAAACAGGCCCCTGGGTTGTATCGTAACATAGTGCAGAAGTGGAAAGAGAAACAGACGTGCAAAAGGCCAAGCATGTGGTTGACTTCACCTTTATAACACACTCAACAAGTCCAGTCCTGTGAGGTGGGCATCAGTTCCTTCTGAGCATGGTGCTCCCATAGCCCACAATGCCTCTTACAGGCCCACCCATTTCTCAACAATATTTCATTGGGGACCAACCCCCCATATGAGTTGTGGTGAGCACAAACCATATTTGAACTACAGCACATAGCGTGACTGATCTACAGCAATGATTCTTCAAGTGTGGTACCAGATCACAAATATCAGCATCACTTGAGAACTTGTTAAAAATATATGTTATTGAATTTTGGTCCAGAGCTACTAAATCAGGAGCTTACATTAACAAGTCTGCCCTCCTGGTGATGCATGATACAGGTGAAGGGCTGCTTATCTGGAGGACAGGCAAATTCCTGTTATAGTGAGTAAGAAACTGCACCACGGCCCTAGCAGACTCTAAAGAGCAAGCAGCAATTTTATGGGTGGCACTGAAATCCATTTTCTCATGCTTCAGCTAGCTTCAAGGCTCTATAGAATGGCTCACCATTACATAGTATTTATTTCCAGGCACTGCCACAGAATAGCCATAGAATCGCAGCCCCAAACTCCTAACATTACTGGCAACTGAAAAGTGAAATCTTATGGTGAACAAAGAATATGTAATGGATAAGGGATTAATTTACAGTGTCAGTTTCCTAATTTTGTATTCATAAAGTTGTATGTATGCTAGGCTACACAAGCAAGGTCTCCTGATATACCTGAGGTAATTGGGCATCCAGCAGCCCCATTTGCATGCAAAAGTAGATGCACACCTCACATTTACAAGTCTAAAACTGAAGCCCAGTCTGAAGCTGGCTGAAGGCTGGCTGCTGGAGAAATAATGAGCTAGGAAAGAAATGGCTTCTGCTCTTCAACACTTTGGGCCTCTACTGTTCAGGATTGGTAAATATGCCCTGTGAAATTTGTACATTACAGATCGGAGAGACTTCTGGGTTTCTATTCTTTATTTTTTTCTTCCTACAAAATTCTACAGTTATAAACTGGTTGTGTTTATTCACAGTATTTTCCCTAAAATTGTACCTGTATGGGTGTTATAGTCTGTTGCTGTGCTATATTTTGCTCTACAAAGTATTCACGCTTTTGTGGGACCAGATGCCTCAGCTTAAAGAAGAGCTACCCCCAGCCAAACTCACTGACTGGATCTGTGGCATAGTTTTATTTCAGTTTAGCCCACATTTCATCATGTAGCTACTTTGTGCCAGGCACAAGACCTGGAACACATGGCAAGGAAGCATAATTTCTGTCCTCAACAGCTTACAATATTTTAATAGTTTCTTGCTGCCTCAAGTGTTGAGATGCTTAAATTAGCTCTTTCTTCAGCCATTTGAAGGACCCCTTACTTGTCTGAGTTTCTGATTATGTTCAACCTGTAATATCTTTGGGAGACTAAGGAACTCAGTAGTCCCAGCTTTATAAAAATTATAGGATTACGGCCAGTTGGCTACTCAGATGGCTCATCATGAGGAAGTACTATAGCTGCAATGCAATACCCACCTGTGTTTCCTATTTTCCCAATATGGGTCACATGGAAAAGAAGGGCAATCTTTTTTTTTTTTACATTTTTTTTCTTTTTTTATTGGTACCAGGGATCGAATTCATGACCGCCTGCTTGCAAGGCGGGTGCTTATGCCGCTGAGCTAAATCCCCAGCCCCAAGAAGGGCAATCTTAAAGGGATTTACCCACAACAGCCACCTAGAGGTGCAAGAACCAGTGATGAAGCAGTTCTATAAAGAGCCTGTCACCTCATCCAAAGCTTTCTATGTATATATTTGATCATGTCTGTCTTACATTGATGGCTAGATTGGATCTTAAGATTATTTTCTATGGTACCAATATGATTATTCTAATCACATAATGTATTAGAGAAAAGATGCTGGTGACCTACATACACTAGTGATTTCTCAGTTAATAGTGACTTTTTCTGTTCATTCTAGCACAGGTGCATATACCTTGATAGCACCGAATGAAACTCGGAGACATCAGATCCAAAGGAGTATGTATATTTGCTTATGTAATATTCAGAATGATTCTCATGTTCTTTTAAATTGGTTTGTTTTAGCCTGAAGTGTTTTCATTTCGATTGACATAAATTTACCAGATCTCACCAAAATCTTTCTTTTTAAACTATAGTGGCTTTTAATATACTTTATCATAGGAAGCAGGGGGATAGGTCATACTCAGAGGGGCAGGGCATCACGAGATAGAGGGAAAGGGATAAGGGATAAAAAGAGAAACTGAGATGTGTTATGCACATGTACCAACTCTACACAAGAACTATAAACATTATCTACATGAACAAAAAAAAGAAAGGCATCTAGGGAAGGATGCACAGGGAAGGGAAAGGGACCTAGAGAAGGGTGGAGAGGAGAGGTAGGGAATAGAAAAGGATGGAAAAGCAATTAGGATGTGGTATGTACATGTTCCAACTTCTTACAAGGAATATAAACATGTACTACACTCATGTAATAATAAATAAAATGATAAAAATTATTCTCTCATTAGCATTTTATAAATTTGTTCCTCCACGTTAGTAACAGAACTCATGACATGATTGTAAGTCTTAGATTTTTGTTGAATTAAAAAAACCTCATTGCCCATAGACTAGTCTCATCCCTTTACATTTCAGCTGATTGCTATATTTTAATGGCAGTATGAATTCTTATAAAACAGACAAATGTTGTACAAAATAATCATGAAATAATTTGCACCTTTCTTTGTCTCATCTCTCCTCAGTGGAATTTTTCCACAACATCTGAGCCCTCATAATTTTGAAATTGTCAGTTTATCCTTCACTGTTATTATTTGTGTAATTTAGTTTTATTCCCTAGGTTATAAGGTCTTTAAGGGCAAGGACCATTTGACTCTTTTTTGTGCTCCTTATACTTAGTGTGTGTATAATATGTATAGAGGAAGTATAGTATATATAAATACTACCATCTAAAGTTATGACATTATCTTTTAGAGTTGCAGAAAGAGGTAAGGTTCATTTAGTTCAGGTCTAGCTGCAGTAGTACTGACATTCTGTGCTTTGGCTTACTGCATCTTTTGCAGAAAGTATAATTTTGTAACTGATGATAAACCTATGGGCTTTAAGCAAAGCCACCATCTAAAGGGTGGTGTTTCCAGGTAGATAGCCCCCTTGTGGGAGAGTAGATCACTTTAGAATATGACAGATAGCTTCAGTGATTATGGCAGCTGCAGGTATTTGACCAACAGAACCCCAAAAGTTGTGGCATCTTACCAGCTTTTGTTATACTTACCTGGAATTTGTGTAGTCTGGGTTTTGAGATATTTCAGAATCCTTTTACCTTCATAATTAAAATAGTTTATAATTAGACATTTGGAACAATCAAGTCTAACCTGGAGATGAGGGCATTTGCTGATAACAGAGATAGCATCTCCTTGGTGCCCCCTGCTGTGAAGAGTTAATATCTGGGCATTGAGCCTAGCTTCTTAGCAGACTCTGCCTAGTCCCAAAAGCCAGAACCAGAACAGGGGTGCACACTCAAAAGTGCAGAGCCCTCATTCCTTGTATCTGAGGTGAAATTGGGGAGCATTTGAAATAAAGTCAATAGGAGCATCAGAATTCTCAGAATGATTACATGTGTGAATTCCCACTGTCAGGAATATTGTAGTTTTGCACAATAGGAAACCTTTAAAATTAACTTGATATAGAGTTTTAAGAATGTCTAAATGGGAGATAAAACTATATTCCTTTTTGTTATTAGGAGATCAGATTGTTTCTCAACTTTGAACTCTCTGTGTCGACACTTAGAATAGTATGGGTACAGTACCTTATTTTCCTGGACATCTTGTCTGCTTATGCTAGCATGTAGTTAACTGTCCTCTGATGATTTTATTTTTTGTGTGTGCTTTAAAGTGATCCATTTTCTTTCCACATTCTAATACTTGATGATTTTGTTTCTCACTTATTTAGTTGCCGAGCAAGAGCTGGCCAGCTTGGAGAAGTGGAAGGAACAGAACAGAGCTAAACCAGTTTATCTCTTGCCAAAACGGCTGGGTAAGCAATAAATCAGTTGCCTGAATGAGGAAGGCAAGTCCCACCTCAGATCCTGTAGGCACCTGTATATGCCTTTCTTTGTATACTAGAGGCAGTCAGTGGTTGTCACTGCTTGAAATATCACTCACTGCTTGAGATGGAATGTATTTAACATGGAAACATTTAAGTGTGCAGGTACATTGTTGTCTCTTGCTTCCTACAAGTAGCAAATGTATGAAGCCACAGTCATGTGGGAATAATGTGGCAGGTTAATTATCTAATAATTTAGAACAGTGGCACACATACCACTATGGGCTTGTTTGTTATTGTTGAAAACTCTAAAAGGCTCACAAACACTGATTTAGAGCTTCTTAGATGATCAGCTCTGAACAATGCTTACCTGGGGTGCTGGATATATACCCCATCAGCACCTGTTGGGATGAGGGGGAGACTATCACAGCATATCAGTCATGGCAGTTAAATGCTACTGTGAAGGAAATAGAAGGAGAGCTAATTCTAAAAGCGAGAAGAGAACCCAATGGTGGGTATAAAGACAAATGTCACCTGGGTTTTACTCTGCGGAGACCTTTGGGCCACTAGGATGGGTGGTGGTAATGTGATGAATGATCGGGGTCATCTCTGTGGTGTTTGAATCATTTAGGGGGATGTCACCTAATGGGAGTCTTTAATTTTCTTTCTTTTTTCTTTACCAGCAGCAATTGACAATTTAAAATGCTGGACATAGTTTCTGTAGATCTAGTTAATATAAGCATTATTTTCATTCAAGAAGCCACTTACTGTCATGAAAGTCTTAAAGAACCCCCTCCCCTGACATGGACATAGGTAAAAACTAGCAAATTTGGAAGTCACTTGATGAATGAAAGTAATAGTATCATCATGGACATACATAGTACAGTGGTACTTTGGTTTACAAACTTAATGTAGTCTGTTCCACAATTTGGGGGAAGGTGATCACATTCATGTTTGTCACCCAGTGTAGGGTTCACAAACAGAAGCAAAATTTTGTGAATACTTTTATTCTTGAACTGAACAGAAGTTTCTAAGCTGAGGTATTACTGTATTTCATGGAAGAGGTTAAGCTCATATCACTTTGGTGCTGAATAAACCAGACTTGAGGGGTGCCATCAAATCATGTTCCTCAAACCAGCTGTGGGGAGCCAGTCTTTGCCATGTCCTTTGAATGCTGTGGAAGATTAGACTTTTTTGGTTTTTCTCAAATAATAGTACCTACCTAGTTCTAGGCATAATGCAGTCTCATTTCAATAAAGTTCAGTCATAAATACTGGTCAGAACTAACTCTGTTACTAAAGATTAAGGCTCCCCTAATTCAGTACAGCATTGTTTCAGGGAGGAAGCTAACAAGCATGGTTGATGTTCCTGGACTTGTGTTTGACTCCTTCAGGGTCAACGGCTTAGAGGTGAATAAAACAGTAGTGTTGGGTACATGCTGTCATGCTGTGGTGACTGCTCTCTCCCTCCTGAGATTATCTGAGTTTTTCAGGGTCCTTCCCTACCTACCATCTGTCCCTTGCTTGATTTCCTTCATAGAGACGATAGACTCTTCTGTCGGCACTGCTTTGGCTCTTGCTAGACTGTGTGTGGAGTCTGTTGTTTCATAGATGGTGCCCATAGCTGAATGTTACGCTAATGTCTAGATGTCCCCCCAAAGCCTCATGCACTCATAGATGTGGCTTTGGGAGGTAGCTAGATGATGGATATATGATACTGGATTAGTTCACTGATGCCTGGAGTGTGATGCTGGGAGGTGAAGCCTTGTGGGAAGACATGAGTCACTGTGAGTGTGACCTGGAAGGATGTATATATACCTCTCTCCTCTTCCCTTGATGGTTCCTTGCTTCCTGCTTACCATGCCATGAGATGATTCTCCTCCATCCTGCCTTGGAGCTACCTGGCTATGAGCTGAAGCTTCTAGAGTCTGTGAGACAAATTAAATCCTTTTTCCTTTAACTGTGAGTGTCAGGTATGTTGTCCCAGCAATAAGAAAGTTGGTAAGACAATGAGTTCCTCTAAGGTGATTTTAGGTTGGCATTTTCTCTCATAAGATCACATAAGAAATGCTGATGCATCTTTTCTTACTGCTGACTCTGGGAACACAGGCCATTTTCAATGCGATCACCTCTTTTTGAAGACATATCTGAGCAGCCAACTAACAACAGCTTTGTTGCCTTTAAGCTCTGATTTTTCTGTGAATTTTTCATACTCTTAGGAATTCAGGTTAAGGTCTTCACATGATCTTTGTTAAACCACTCTTGCTCAGCTTGAAGTGGATATTTTTTTCCTTTATCAAATACACAGAGGAGTAGGAACTCAGACATAGCTCCTCAGGTTTCTATCTCCCTTTTAAAAAAAATTTTTTTTATTTAAAGAGAAAAAGATAAAAACAAAAACAAACATGGAGAAAAAAATAATACAGAAAAATAAACAGTAAGAAATCACTAGTTGATAAGTTACATATTGTCATCTTAGAAATAGTTGTTCAGGTTACCAAATTAAAGCATACAAAGTGACATTCAAATAGTGACACTGCCAACAGTTCTGCTCAATGATCCAACAAAAACTTAGTAATATGGTTATCAGTCCTACACACTTGTTTTTTATCTTAAAGAGGGTAAGATTAAACATATCAAAACAGAACAAAACAGTTCATAAAGAAACAATTTAAAGAAATGAGGATTTCAAAGCAAGTCCACTGGAGATCTTCACTGACTATCTTATTGTCTCTAGTTTTTCTTCCAAATAGTTGTCCCCATCTTCACACACATTGAATACATACTGCATATTATATAATTAAATCATTACTGGATGGTGAAGGCTTTTTAGGTCTTCAAGACCTGACATTGGAGAAGTAAGTAATGACTACCATAATGTCTCTCATTCTCTTCGCAGTAACTGTTCTTACCTTTACGTATACTGAAATTGAACTTAAGAGACTAGACTAATATCGCTCTGAACAGTGAATAATAGTATTGCTAGATTTTATATCATAATGTTACAGAATTAACACTGGGTTTCTTAGTGTCTCTTCTTCAGAGTATCTGTTCATTACATCATACATTATATAATCTGTTCCCATAAATAGTTTAAAAAATTCTTCCCATGTGTGAATTTATACATGTATATCTATCTTCTCTGTATTATAGGGAAAAACAGATCATAACAAGACAACAAAACAAATTCTAGAAAAACATGCAATGAAAAAGACACATAAGACCACAATATTTGGTGATCTAGTAGTTGCTTTCTCTTGTTATTTTAAATAGACTTGTCCACATCATCAAGCTTAATATAGTTAAGCATAGTATTACATAGCTATTTTTATAAAAACACAACTTAGAATACATTATAAGACTTGAAAGCGGTTAATAATCAAAACTGGTATGGATATCTTTTACATCTTGTCATCTTCAGAGTAGTTGCATCTACTCTTAGACTTGATACTATCAAGCATACCAAATTTGAATAAAATCAGCCAAGGCAAATCTGCAATCTAACAAACCAGATTCAAATAAGATCAGTCATAGTAAGACAATATAACTAATACAGGGTTTCAGTTTAAGTTTATAGGAAATTAAGGATAGTTACCATGGTATAACCTGCTATTTTTGGGTTAGATGTCTGTGCCCTCAAATCTGATATGAGTGGACAGACCAGAATAAATAAAATCAAACTAAACAGAGCGATAAGACTACTGTGACTTTTAAATCCTGATACACTATTAACAATGACCTCTGCCTTCCTTTTTTAGGCTATTTTTCACCTTTTCCCTTCTTAGGATGCTTTGAATGTTTTGGGTCTCACTAGCCCCTTTAGTTTTTAGATTAGGAGGCCAGCCTATGGTCTATCTGAGTGTTGCTGAACCTTTTTACCCCTGAGCTTGGTAGTGTTTTCCTTCCTTCCAGCTGTGTAGTTCTACACTGCCCCAGTGTCAAAGCTTTCCAATCTATCTGTGGCTGCTGGATGAGTTGTCCCTATTTCTTTCTGGATTCCTGTCACATATAGCATTGCTTTCTCATCTTTGACTTTCAGTTTATTGACCCTCTTTCGGGTTGAGTGTATTTCCTATTCATAGCATCTCGATGGAACCTGCCTTCTAATCTACTCTGCCTGTTTCTTTTTTTATTTTTTATTTTATTTTAGTGTATCAAGGCTATCTATATTATAGATTATAGTTTACCGTCTCTGCCTCATGTCTGGTATTCTATTTTTCTGCTATAATTTATCTACTTTACTCCTTCATTCCACTGTCTGCCCCATTCTTTGAGGCCTCTCTGCCACTGTTGCTGGGATCCTGGTATTTTTTCCTCTCTCTGGAATGTTCTTCAGTATTTTTTGTAGGATTGGGTTGGTGGTCATGAATTCCCACAGTTCTTCCTTGTCTTGGAAACATCTTATTTCTCCATTAATTTTGAGACAGAGTTTTCTGGGTACATCAGTGTTGGATGTGGATTATTTTCTTTCAGGGCTTGGACTGTTTCCTCCCAGGCTCTTTTCAATTTGAGAGTTTGTGTTGATAAGTCTTTTGTTATTTTGATAATTTTTCCATTGTAGGTAATCTGCTTCTTTTCCCTGGCTGCTTTTAATACTCTGTTCTTTTGGTGGATTTCTGGAATCTTGATTATTATATGTCTGGGTGTAGATTTGTTTTGGTTTTAGGTGGCTGGAGTTCTGTATGCCTCATTTATTTGGATATGATTTCTTTTTCCTATGCTTGGGAAGTTTTCCTTAATTATATCTATGGATGGTCTTTGTAGTTCATTTTTGGTTACTCCTGCTTCTTCGTTCACATGTTTTATTCTTAAGTTATGTATCCTTTTGTCGTCTTCTAGCCTTTGAATTGTTTCTTTCTGCTTCCTCGTTATTTTTAAGAGATCTTTTCTTTTGCAATCATATATCATAAATCTTTCTTCAAGTTTAAAAAGGCTGACTTTAGTTTCTTTCAAGGCATTTTGCCAGTTTTCAATGGAGTTTTTAGTTTCCTGGTAATCTCTTTGAATCTGTTTCATGTATTCTAGATTTTGTTTATATTCTTCATCAAAGGTTTCTCTTTCTTTTCTGAGTTCCTCCATTCTTCTATTTGTGTTCTCTTGGGAGGGACTTATCATTTCTTTAATTAATCTTTTTAAATCTTGCCTCACTTGGATCAGAAGTACAGTTTTAAATTCATCTATGAGGTCATGAAGGTATTTCTTTATGTCCACTGATGCTCTGTCTAGTATTGGATGGTTACTGCACTGGTTCTCTTCTGTATTTACTTCTCCTGGGCTTATTTTCCCAGGTTCAGCAGCTGGAGGTTTTTTTTTTTTTTTATTTCCTTCTCTTATCAGGTTTCTGGTTTCTTTCAGACAGGTGTGTCCTGGGGGTCTCTGGCCCTCACCGTATTGCTTAGGGTCTTTCCGAAGTGTGCTGACTGGGGTTTTGCTGCCCTCCCCAATTTGCTGTTATCTGAGGTACACGCAGGGATGCAGGGACTGTACAGGCTAGCCTCCAGCCTCTATGCCAGTCAATCCACAAGTTAGGCTGTACCTTGTGGATGTCACAGAGTCAGGACAGTTTTATACTTGCTTATTGGGTCCCAACCAGAGGTGTAACTTAGCCCCAGCAGATCATGCCAGTTCTCTCTGTGCCAGGGGTAGCTGACTGACATCACTGCGGCGCCGGGCTCTGCCCAACTGCAAGATGTTCTCCACCAGTCCTTTCTATGCCAGGGGTGGCCGACTGACAGCACTGCAGTGCCAGGCTCTGCCCAACTCCAAGATGTCCCCCAGCCAGCGACAGCAGCCACGGGACCCAATCCCTAGCAGTCACTGGGAATCAATGCAGTTCTTCCTTTTGGGTCTACTCCACACTGCACTGCGTGTCTTCACTGCATTCTCAGCACATTGTGGATTGGTCAGAAAACTGTGCAGTGCCTGGCTTCAGCGCCCAGGTGTATGGTCCTCTCGCTGTCTCCTCTGGTGTGGCCAGGTGGCTCCGGCTGGTTTGCAGGGCCCCGGGTCCCAATTTCCAGCACTCACCGAGAGCCAATAAAGCTCTTCCCCTTGGATCCACTGCTTACTGTGCTGCGTCCTCCCATTAAGGGCCCGGAATTCGTTGACTCCTGTTATTGGCAGCTGCAGTCTCAGCGTGACTTTGGATCATCTGGGTGTGCCTAGTACAGCACAGAATGGGTTTCAGTGAGCGTGTTGGGTTTCAGTTCTCCACCTGTGCTTTTCCTTCCTCTTCCTAGTTTTATCTTTCCCTTCAGTTACCGCCTTGGTTAATAAGAATCGTTATCCAATCGTCTGGTCCTCTCCATGTTGTCAAATTCTACCATTGATCTGATTTCTCCGCAGAGGCTCTCCATCCAGCCCCCTAGCAAGCCGCCATTTTTTCTCTCCATCTCCCTTTTAACTATCTATCCTCTTTTACGGTCTGAAGATAGCTGCTAGTGGAGATTCTGCAAACCAGTTTGTAGTTGTTCCCTTGCAGATCTGCTTGTAGGGATGCAAGCAACATACTTGGAATTTGGAGCAGTGGGTGCCTATTATCTTGCAGCATTGGTGGAATATGAGCGAGATTCTTATTTTTAAGTTTGTGATATATGAGGTATCTAGGAATGACTGGATGTGAAGGGGGGAAGGGCTAGTAGGAAGAAGGTTCTAGAATGTATTAAAATGATGAATTCTAAATAAAACTGCTTCCTGCTTGCCATCCATGACTTTCTCCATTTCTTTTCATCCTCAAGTCCTCCCCTACTTCTCTACCTCTTAAAATACTGGAAGAATTGTCAGTGATAGAGAAAGTATTTGAAACAATAGATACAAGCTTCAATATTTCTTGCAGTTTTTTTTTTTTTTTACTCTCCACAAGAGTGACTGATGGGCCCTATCTGAGCCTGTATATCTTTTGGAACTTGTAAGAAGAGCCTCTATAGTGTCTTTATCAGTTCAATTATAAAAACTACAGCAAATACAAATTGTTTTAATATATGTTCTGTGACAGTGAATCTGTCACAGCACCAGAGAATTATTTCAAAGGAATCTTTCTAATATAAACACCAACCCTGCAGAAACACTGAGAAATTGCTAAATGGCTTTTTTCATTTCTTTTCTTTCCTTTTTTTTTTTTTTTGCCATGGTGGGGATTGAACCTGATCTGACATATAGTGTCAGGCGCTCTTCCACTAAGCTGCATACTACCCAGCCTGAAATAACAGTTCTTAGATGATTGTTAACCTTTGATGATTTCTGACCCCAGATTATCTTTGTTTAAGAGACAAGCAAATACTCTTTTATCCATAGTTTTCCCCTTGAAAACCTACAGAAAAATAAATTTTATGAGTTGATAATCAGTAGGCAGAATATTCCTGTTGTACTTTATAAGACCTGATTATAAAGACCAAATATGTTTTTGGAAACAAGACTTAACTGAGTGTTGCTATTTGAACATAGGACAATAGAAATTGAGGGAAAAAACAATTGAGACATCATTGATTATCTTTATTTGTTAAAGAATAGTCATGGAGGAATTTTCTAGACTTTCAAGACAGGCAGTACTTTTTTTTTTCCACTTTAGTGTGCCTCAAGTTATAATTTTGGTCTAAATGAAAACTTTAATCCTACTGATTGGAAACCCTTAGTAGGATCCTTTTTTAAAAAAATATAGCTTCATCTATGTCTAGTTTTGTTCTGTTTTAAGCAATTACCATTCTTTAATGTTTTATTGATGATAATTGGTTATGTTCTTATTTCTAGGGGTATAAAAATGTTAAATTTATGTTGTAAATTTGTCATGTATTAATTAGTCCTTGATGGCTGACATTTCAGCTTAATATTCATGTTTTACTGTCACAGCTTTTTTGTTTGTTTGTTTGTTTTTTCATTAGGTGGAAGTCAGTCAGAGTCTGAAGTCAGGCAGAAGCAACAGCTCCAACTGATGCAATCTAAATACCAGCAAAAGGTCAGAATCTATCTCTTTCAGTTTAATTTCAACAAGAATTTTGAGTACCAGTACTGTTAAGTAACTATGAAATAATATAGTAGCTTTACCAAAAGCATAAGATCTTTAAACCGATTTCAAGTGGAGCACCTTTCAGAACTGAAGAAGCCAGGAACTGTGAAATGAAGAGAGAAATTACTTACATCCTTAGTTAAGTCATATATTTATCAACACAACTAAGGGAATTTACACCCCCCTCACACAAACATTGATTTAACTTAATGATGTATTAATGTAGTTTCAGTCTATTCTGTTTTGAATATTTTAGTTCCAAGAATATAATTTTGCTTACCTCATGGAAATGATACAAAAAAGATTTAAGTACCTGGTGATTTTTTTAATGAACACTATGAATTTTATAATCAGGAAGAATTATCACCCTTTCCCCCTCACACACAGGCATGTGCATGCATACTCACAATCCTCCCGCCGACATGTAGATCAGAGAAAGAGAGACTGACACACACACACCCAGATGGAGGGGGATGGACATACACACAGACACAGGAAGAAAGAAACACAGAAACTTAATAGCAAAGGAGGTAGCCTGGCCATTCTCTGTGATCTAAGTTGCTCGATGGAACAACCTATAATCATAGTGAGGGATGGCACAAACAATACTATAACTTGCCTTTCATCCTAATTTTGTGTTCCAGAATTTCAGACAAAAATGGTAACTGTTTTTTTTTTGTCTTCTATTATTTTGTCTTAAATTTAGCTAAAAAGAGAAGAATATATAAGAATCAAGAAGGAAACTGAAGAAGCTGAGCTCCAGAAAATGAAGGCAATCCAGAGAGAGAAGGTAAGAAGGTAGAGACCATGATTAGCTAACAGTACAGAGGGCCATCTGCCAGTGATCTTCTAGGTGTTGTTTGTAGATTAACTCACTTAATTCCCTCAGTAATTGGATGAGGTAGAGATTATCCAGTTTTACTAGTAAGTAACACAGGGGAGATAAGTTACCAAGGGACCATAAGCAAGTAATAGAATAACTGGGCTTTAGAGGTCCTACTCTGAGTCACCATCACACTGTCTCACCTCTTAGGCAAACAATCAACATACAAACTGTGCATGTAATGGGTTAGAAGAAGACAAAACAGCTATTAACAATGTCAGTGATACAGGGTTAGCATTATACCCACATATTGCATTTTTCAAGTAAATATGATGTAGCATGCCTCTCTCACTAGTAAAAACAAAAACATGTAGATAGGCATAAGGAGTGCATGCTTATAATCCTGGCACTCTGGGAGGCTGAGGCAGGAGGATCACAAGTTTTAGCTTAAACCAAGAGATTTAGGAAGACTCTGTTTCAAAATAAAAAATAAAAAGACATTGAGATGTAGCTCAATGCAAAGGCTGTGGGTTCAATGCCCAATACAAACAAAGAAAAAAAATAGCACTCTTTATATTTCAGTATGTTTTATTCCATTTTGCACCTCAAAGTTGTTTTAGTTTCAGTATAATTTCTAGGGCTTGTGAAATAGCTCTTAGAAATACTCATCTGCTTAAGGGGGCAGAAGAGTGCAACATTCTTTTCATTTAAAATTATAATTATTATTCCATATTCATTGTACAAATTAGTGGGTTTCACTGTGGCGTTTCCATGCATGCACACTTCAGGTGCTCTGACCGCATCCACACTCCTGCCCACCCGGTCTCAGCCTCCTCTGTAGTGTTTGCTGCCCACCCTTGTTCCTCCTCCCATTCTCCACCACATCCAAAGCTACCTTCCTTTCCAGTCTAAGAGCGTCCTGTTACTGTAGAGAGGTAGTCTCTGGGAGTAGAGATAAGACTAGACTTGCGGAAAAATAAGAAAAGACTGAAGGTATAAAAAAATACAGAAATTTTGTTTCTAGGACCACCAGTTCTAATTGACTAGCCATTACACTTCCATTGCTTTTTATTACAATGACTTTAGAAAAATTCACCTCTTTCTCTCTCCTCATTCTTCTCTATTCCTCACTCTTTAGCTCTCCTTTCCCCCTGCCATTTATCCCTGTAAAATAAGCTCATGTCTTGGTCTGCATTGTAGAAGAAGGGTCTTCTACACATTGCCTGTGTTACAGGTGGAATAAGAAAACCACCAAGAACTGAATGAAGAGGCTTAAATACCCTGAAGAATTACTGTGTTGCAGCCTTTCTCCTAAAAATCATTTATAAATTGTCATTTAATACCCATAATTGGCTGGTTTATCAGTCATGCTTAGAGCTCATTTCTTTGTTGTCATTAACATGTACTATTCATAAGTTGCTTTCTGAAATTATTCTTTGCCATCAGTATTTCTCATCTCTAGTGCCACAGCACTAGACATACAGCAATCAATCAAAACAGAAATCTTAATTAGATATGCATTTCTAAAATGGTAAGCACAATGCTCACTGGGATGAATTTATGGGGAAGAAGGAGACAGGTAATTGGTAGATCCGTCCCATTCAGTAGGTGGCCCCTGGGTGGGCTGTGTGCCAAAGTGCTGCAGACACTTGAGCCCTCCTCAGACCTACAAAATCAACAAACTCCCCTGTGATTCCTGTGCACATTACAGTTTGGGGAGAACTAATGGAAATGGCTTTTCAAAAGAACAAGCCATTTGCCCCAGGCCTTGCATGGATTTGTTTTCTCTGATTGAGGTGCTCTGCCACCGTGGCCCAGCCTTCCTGTCACATATAAATCTGTTGTTTTTCATACTAAATACGGTGTAAGCCTATTTTGTAGCTTGCGTCAGATAGAAAAGAGACATTAGCCATCTAGAAGTGACATATTTCACATTGCCAGTGTGAAAATGGCCAAAGAAGGTAATAATGATTATGCTTATGGGGCACTTACTCTTTAGAATGTGCAGCAAATACACACATGGACACTAGCCTGCAGAACTCTGCCTTCCTTCTTAGGCAAGTGACTACTGCCCAGGAAGTCCAAAACCAAGAAGAAGCCAAGCAATTATTGCCACCAAGAGCTTCTAGTATGGGCAGTCATGTTGACCCTCTCCCCCACCCTACACCTGTCCATTTATGCAGAGGGATCACTGGGAGACTATGAGTCTCATTCTGATGGGTCACCAATTGTGCGGGTAACAGTGAGTAGACAGTAATTGAGTTCCTGCTAACATTTGTGTGTGTGTATCTACCATGAACAGGATGGCATAAAAGACACCCAATTTCTTCCTTATTCAGTCAAGTCATGGAGTTTAGGAGTACTTAATCCTACAGGTCAAGGGGACTGTCTTAGTTATTTTTTACTCGTCCTTGAGACAAAATACCTGATACCCAAAGTTAGGAAAGGTTTATTTCTTACAGTTCTTGGAGTTTTCAGTCGGTATTCGGCTGGCTCCAAGGCAGTGTGGCTTGGTGGGGCAGCCTTTCATGGCCACTGCAAACAGCAAGGCATGAACCAGCAAGAGAGAGCGACACACCTCCTTCCCACCTTGACATCATATCCTGCCCCCACCCCTGGGTGGGTAAAACACTCACAACACCAATCCGAGCTCTAGACAGTGAACCAGTAACAAATGCTAGATTTGGTCCCATCCATAATTCATGAGGCTTCGGGGCCCCTGACATAAATCATGACAGAAACTTTGGTGACAGCACTGAAGTGCTTTGTCAAACTCACATTCCATGAACTAGAGAGTGACAGTGGCAGTATACCTCTAGTGGTAACCTAGAACTGCTGCAAACTAGCTCATGAAAATAGATTAAGTTTTCAAGTTTTGGGGGACTCAGTTTAATTCATAGTGGTGGTATAGAATTAACTGGTAGAAATATTTGCACTATAGAAATCAGGAAAATACTACAATCAACTTCCCCTTGTTTCTACTAGAGCTGGCTGTTAGATGTTTACCAGGACTCACTGGTTAGCACTAAATCAAAGTTGTTTTCCTTTAACCTCCACATTTCAAAGCCAAGTCTCAGACCACTCAGAAGGGCAAAATACATTATGAAGTTCCAGGCATGTTGTTCCTAATACTTCCTGATTCAAAAGTAGATGATAATTCATGAGGTAGAGAGAACAATTTCCATCCTTCCTCAAGATAATCAAATTCTAACCTGAAGAATCTAAAGATATATGAAAAAGGGAAATTAAGTTCACAGATGGAATTAAGTTTGCTAATCAACTGTCCTTAAAAATAGAGCATCCTGCAATATTCAGGTGGTTCAACCTAATCACAAGGGTCCTTAAAATTGGAAGAGGCGGACAGAAGAGAAAGATGACAGCAGAGAGAGATTCATGCTGTTTGTTGTTGGCTTTGAAGATGAAAGGGACTATAGGCCGGGGAATGTAGGAGACCACCAGAGACTAGAAAAGACAAGAACTCTGATTTTCTCAGAGCTGCTAGAAGAAATGCAGCACCTGTGACACCTTGATTTTACCCTGTGAGACCCATTTTGGACAGCTGACTTTCAGAACTGCAAGATAACAATTTCTTAAGGCTGCTAAGTTTATGATAATTTTTTTGTGGCAACCACTCTCTTGTGGTTTCATAATTGTGTGTTAACTTTCTTCCTAGAAATCTATATGGCAGGGACAGTAGCTCTAAATATTAGAGTAAAAGAAATTTGTTTAAAAATGAAGGTAGTGTACCAGATACAAGTACTTTTTTTGCCACTGGATTGTGCCCAGGAGTAGACAGGTTTTCATATGGCCACATAGGAGCATTTCATCCAAATTTAGTGCCGTGGGAGAAAACTTCCACCACACCTTTCCCTCATAAGCACATTGATGAATTAAGTAATAATCTGTTTTTCCAGACTTTCCTAAAACCCACAAACCTAAAAACATGAAAAATTTCCACTTATGTGTCAAAGACCTTCCCTATTTCTTGGATTCATTTTATTCTCCTTTCTATCTACTTAGGTTTAGAATACTGTTATAGAACACTATTATGTAGTACTGCTCTTCCCAAATACTTCTGTTTGGCTCTCTCAATTTATTGGGAAATTGTAACCTCAGGAAGTTCAAGAATCCAGTTAGGTATCTGAGTAACATTGAAAACCTTTTCTTGCTTTCCACTAAGCTATGGCTGCCAAAGTCATTTGGAGCCTGGAAGTCAATGTGTTTTATGTGGACACTAAGAAACATTGTCAGTTTTAATGCTGTGCAGTGAAATAGGAACTAACCAGTGGAATATAAATCATGCATATTAGATGCAAAGATGCATACATATACATATTCCTAGGAAATCATACTTGTTGCTATACCCTGCCTTGAGTAGGGCTGCCTATGAAATTGGTTCCTTGGGATGTGTTGCATTGTGCTCAGCCTTCCCAGGCTGCTGGAGCCATGCTCCAGTGGAGCCTAGGTAGTGCTTGGCATTGTCCATGTGATGCTAGCTTTCAGGCATGCAGAATACAAGAGTTCTGGAGTATGGAGGTATCCACACAGACTTCAGAGGATTGCCTGGAAAGTCAGGAAATGTGCTTGCTTGTTGTCTTTCACTGTTGATTCCCTGTCCCTCTGCCCGGGGGTGTAGGGAGCTCCTCATGGTTGAGCACTTTTGGTCTCAGAATTCAGGACTTTCTCAAGATTAGAGTCATTTATTTCATTTAAAATTCTGTTAGTTTTCTTCCTAGAATTCTGTTTCGTTAACGTCTAATTGCTTGCATTTTAATTGATTCCCCTGACACTAGTAAATTTCTGATAGTTTTTTTTTTTTTTCTCTGTTTGGTACCAGGAATTGAACTTGCAACCTCATGTTCGCCAGGCAGGTGCTTATGCCGCTGAGCTAAATCTCCAGTGACCCCCACTCTTTTTATGGAATTGAAATCACCATCTGTTTTGCCTGTCAAAATGGGAAGGTTCTGTGTGAATGCATATTTTCATGCAAATGAAAAATATGAACACATTTTCCCCTTTTTGAAAGATTGAGCCAAACACACAAAGTGTAAAAATAATGATTTCCATTATTCTCTGATCACAGGTCTTTCTCTGGGAAAATCCAATTTTTTATTAAATCTAGTTTGTTCTCTCTTGAATTCATTTAAAACTTCACATTTTTCTTGTGCTGCAGAACTTGCTTAAACTCCCGATTAAATCTGTTGTTTAAGAATTTTATTTGGTACTAGGGATGGTAGCTCAGTGGCACAGTGTCTGTCTGGCAAGTGTGGGGTCCTGAGTTCGGTTCCTAGTAACAACAACAACAAAGAACTGTACTTATTTTTCTAAACTAAGTTTTAAAAAGTGATAGTTGTGTCATGGTGAGCAGAAAGCAAGTGCTCTGGATTTATTTAAATTGGATTAAAATATGCCATGGTGACAGTAAAATCAAATACAAAATTTTTTCTCTACGCTCTCAAAACAGCTAATTAAAAAAAACTGGATGAATATTTTTTAAGGACATATATTATTCAGTCTCTAAACAGCTTTAAGTATCTGATTCTAAGTCAGAAGGGAGTTAGGTTAGCATACTGAAAATCTTTTCTGGAGTGCCTGAGTAGAATATGGGTAGGCTTATGTAGATTTATTATAATTTTAACCATTTATTATAATTTTAATTTATCATACTTGGTTTGTAAATTTTATGTTTCCATTAGAACATTTTGAAAATATCGATTAAAAAGTTAAGTGTTGCTATCATTTGAGCTAAAATAAAATATAGAATGTTGATTCTGTGATTATTCTAGTCAAACTGGGAGAAGGGAGCGGAGGGGAAGATTTGGGCTCCTGACCACCACCTCCTCCTCTCTTTCTTCTCCTCCTTCTGCTTTTTCCTTTTATTTTTTTCTTTTGGTACTGGGGGTTTAATTCCAGACCTTCGCACTGAGCTCCATTTCTAACCCTTTTGTATTTTTGAGACAAGGTCTTGTTAGGTCACTAAGTTGTCCACTGTGGGGTCAACACTCAGTCTTTCTGCCTCAGCCTCCCAGAGGCCAGGATTATGTGTGTGCCTCCATGCTTGACTGAGCTCCTGGCTTTTGGTCTGGTGCTCTTGCGTTGGAGAGGGGATGCATCTGGGAACCTCTAGCAGGATACTATGTTAAACTGTTAGGGCCACTAGCTCTTTGTATAATTTCAACATCATGATTTATCCCAAAGGTTCATTAATTGATTTTATTTTGATATTTGAAATTTCAGAGCAATAAACTGGAGGAGAAAAAGGCACTTCAAGAAAAGCTCAGAAGAGAAACACTTAGGGAGCATCACCAATAGTGAGTATATTTTCAGAACTACAACCTTTGTGAGCATATTTTTCATTCAGCTTTTAAATTCTAGATGATGGTACATTTTCAAATATCTGGTACAATATGAGATTATTGACTACTATGTTAATTATTTAATTGATCTCTGTTAACGTTTGAAGATCTAAGATTGGATGTATCTATACTTAGCAAAGTACTCTTTATATATTTTACTCTTAAAAGAAAAAGTGCTCTTTAGTAGTCAATTGCCTAGCAATGTTAGTACTAAATTTTAGGAGTTCATCATTATAAATAACTTGGAGATCTTGACTTTTTGGGTGATCCAGGGTACTTATTATGTTGAGGATTGAAATATCCAAGAAGAATCTAAACTAGTTAAGGATTTATCTAATGGACTGAGAAATGTTACACTTTGTGTTTTGTTCTAATTAAAAATTCAGATACCATTTAGCAGTAATTGTCAAAATTTCTAATTTGTGGTCATATACCACAGTAAATTTTATAGTATGATTTATGAATAACAGCAGTTAATAAGTATTGCCATAATAAGGCAGCTACTGCTTTATAAGGTAGATATTATACTCTAAAAGCAGACAACCAAATAACCATATTTCAGATCTTATAATCAAAATGTCATAAAATCAAGGTAGGAGGTAGACAGCATGGGGGGTCTGTTGGTTTTAGGGTGCCTTACAGCATTTGGCGACCATAAGAACACCATGTCCTAACCACACTCCCTGACACCAGGCATCAGCCTGAGGGTCAGGTGTTGTGCTTGAGAGTCACCTTAGGCGACCTCATAGCCATTGTAATAGCATTGTGATTTTGACCCCACTAATGGGCTTGGCCACCATGGTGGTTCAGCAAGGTCCATATAAATTCAAAGACTGCTTCTGACATGGGGATGGAGATTCACCACGAACTGGGAGAAATCCCTGCTATATACCACCCAGACCCTAAAACACAGGAAGAGCTCCAGCAAATCTTAAAACCAAAGATGGGATCTCTCTGAGTCAGGCAACCCTTGATCTTCATTGTTGGCCTGCTCCTGCTCTGTGAAGTCACTTTTGCTCTAATAAGCTCTATGCTTTTCTTGCTGCTTCCATATGTCCTGCTCTGTTCCTTGTTCAGGATAAAAAGAGCCTGGCTGCCTGGTGGGACAGAAACAACCCATTTGGGTTAGAACCAAGTCGATCTGAGAGTCCTAGTTTCAATCCTCAGCTGTGATTTTGGACAAGCTACTAAAGCTCTTGGAAATTTAGTGTTTTTTTCATTTGAATTCAATTTCAAAATAAGAATGATAATATTGATCTGATCATCTAATTGTAAGATTTAAAGATAATATATCTATGGCATAGAAGTGCCTATTATATGGACTTGAAATGATTGTCTTACAGAGATCCTAGTTGGATGGGATTATACAGTTTTATTTTGGAGAAACTATATTTAGCTTTGTGGCCCCACTAGAGGCAGTAGTTGACCTCTGTCTTTCCTGTGCAGTGCTCGTTACCTGCTTTCTATTCTCTCTTCCCACCGTTGTCCCTCATTTTCAGAATTTTAGGTCATTAAGGTGTTGAGCTGTACATGTATGTGACACCCTAGAATACATCCTTCTCAACATTCTACATCTTTTAATTTTTTCATGCTATTGTAATTATCTCGCCTATATCATAAGCAGCCACTTCTTGTTTTAAGACTCAGAGACAAGAATGGAAAAGAAATTTCTTGCCCTTCTACATTGCTTTTTAGCAAGACAGGTAATTGGCCTCTGCAATCCAGGTCAGAAAATCGGTGGGAGATAGACTGAAGCAGGATGGAACGGTTAATGAGTGATAACTTCCACCTTACTCCTGCCTTAGTCACAGGATCTGAAGCCCGTCTCTCCTTCCTCTTTCTTGGGAAACAGGAAGCTGAACATCATGAGAAACTGACTATCTTAAAGAGACATATAGCAAGATGGAAGCAATAGGTTGAGAGTGCTGGTGTATTCTTGCCTCTCTTTTCATGGATAGAGAAGGATGAGGATTTATTTCTGGTTCCAGCCTGAGGAGTTAAGGGAGACGAGACTAGAAGGTTTAGTTACTTAGAGCCACAAATAAAAACAAATACAGTTACTCTGTGGCATACTAGTTTTACATTGGAGAAGGGACGACCTACTTCACAGTGAGGTATCCTAAATGCAGGACTGGGAGGTTAAGCCAGTGCATCCTCTGGATGACTGAAGGTAAAGGATGAGAAAGTCTTGAAGATTTCAAATGTTGGAGGTTGTGCTGCTCAGCTTGCTTTCTTTCATCTACGTTCAGTTCTTGAGTTTGTGTTTTACTAAATACTAAAGATCAGTCACCTTTTTTTTTGTAAAGAAGGAAAAGGTTTTGCCCTCAGCCACCTTGCACATTATCAGTGGAGTTCAGTTCAATTACATGCACATTTCACTCTTGCTCTTTTTTGCTTATCATGAAAGTGCCAGTTAACCAGGAAAAAGAGAAGTTGGCTAAAAATGAGAAGTATCTCAAATTGATTTTTAAAGCCTTTTGAGAAACACAAGAAGAGGTAGATGTGTGTGAGCTTTTTTTCTTTTAAGAGCATTGTGTTTGAAATTATTTTTGAAATTAAAAGGCCAATAGCTCATGAAATGAATGACCATTACATAGCTAGAAATATGAAAGAAACTTCTTAGAAAAGGTGGATTCTCTATAAAATAAGTCTTTATCTACATTCTTAGAAGCAGTTTATAGTAGAAAAAGTGCCTAGGAAAGCTGTTAGAATTTTTAACAGTGCAAAGATTTCACTAGACCAACCAGAATGCTGCCCTCTACCCCTCAAATTTGATTCTCCTGAAGCTGTGAAGTGAAGGAACTCAGACTAGAAACCCAAATAAGAAATTCTTTAGCATCAGTCAATACCTTCTAGTTTCTGCATACTGTGACGTGCAGGGTTCAAACAGCAGACCAGGAATGACCAGCCATGGATTTGAACAGACTGTAAATCCAAGATGCTGGAGAAAAAGCAGAGCCACATGGGGCAGCACCATGAGAATCTTAATGTGCTCTTTCTTCACACCTTGTTCCTGACTCCGTTCATTTGCTTCTGATTATTTTTAGCGTTGTCAATTATTTAGCTAACAGGCAGAAAACTAGGCTTTTATTGACATCCAAAGGGACTCTCCTGAGTGTAATAATGAAGGCAGTTTATTGAATGCCTGTGAGGTTGCTTTCTAATTGTACGCATTAATCTGCCCATGCAAGCTGGCTGAAAATACACAAGCAGATTGCACATGCAGATGGAGCACACAGGATGGTTTTTATGGAAAGACCTCTGGAATGTACTTCTGCAGTACTGTCTTTTCCTTAAAAATCGAATGACTGTGACTATTTCAATTGGCAGCTGAGAGCAGACCAGATTAATGATGCATTAAGTCTGCCTCTCTGGCTGGGGACAGACTCCAATTTCACAATTCAGAATTAGTTCTAGGATTCTTGAGCCTGAAAATGGAGGTTAGGAATGGGTATTAAGCTTTGTGTGGTTTTCACCATTCTTTTAATCTTTTTGACTATTTACTCTTAAAAAAACTCATACATGATGCTTTTCAGGATGGTCCTTATATTAGTCTTACTGAGCTGAAGTAATAGTTTATCTAAGAGAGGATGTTATGTCTTAGGTTATTTAAACTATTGGATAAAATATCTTAGCATTTTAAAGTTTAAGTAATAATTTACTTCTGTGGCTTTTAATTTTTAATAAATGTTGAGACAAATTTTGAGCCTATTTAATCAGTGATGGTAATAGGGTACGAAGTGAGGTAGGTATGCAGGTGTAATGGAAAGTGATATTCTTTTAAGTGTATTCTAGATCATTGAATTGACTATGTTTCAATCATTTAAAATTATAATCCATATCTAATGACCGTTTAACACAAAAGATTAGACATTTATATAGTTTCAAATATATAATGTGATTGGCTCTTTTATTTTTTTACTTTTTTTTTTTTTTGTCTTTTTCATTTTTTTTTTAATCGGTACCAGGGATCGAACTCACGACTGCCTGCTTGCAAGGCAGGTGCTTATGCCGCTGAGCTAAATCCCCAGCCAGATTGGCTCTTTTAAATCAAAGTAATAATAGGAAGCTGGTGTATAACTGAGATCCTATGGAGTGTCAGGCTTAACAGTAGATGGGTAATAAAAACTATTTGTTTAATTTTCAGATCACCCCTATTAGGGATGCAATAGGTTGTGAATGCTGGTATATTATTGCCTCCCCATTTTTCTGGTGAACGTTGCAGCATTGGAGTCTGGCTGGGGACAGACTCCAATTTCACAATTCAGAATTAGTTCTAGGATTCTTGAGCCTGAAAATGGAGGATAGGAATGGGTACCATTCACCATTTTTCTGGTGAACGTTTTCTGGTAACATTTTCCAAGGTCATGGAGATGCTAAGTGATAAAGCCATACCCAGGTTCTGAGATTTTAGGGGGACAAGAGAATTAGGTGATTTAGGTCTGCAGTATACTTTAAAGTTGAGAGTCTCAGGGTAGATGGGTTACTGTGGTGAGAACTATTAGAGAGGGTAGGTCAGCTCAGCGAGAAAGACTTGGCCAAAGTTAACTTCTACATCTTCCCAACAAGATCTAAATTTTGCTTGGAGCAGGCAAAAGAAAGGCTGAAGAAATAGGTCTGCTTTGTTTCGAGTCATTCCATAGAAATAGTGTTGTCATCCCAGGGCCAACACTAGGTTAGTACCATGATCCATCTTACTATAGAATAGGATAGGATAGGGCCTTAAGGCTCCTTGACTGTACGCTTCTCCCAAATACAGTTTCTTGTGAGGTTTCCCAGGGACAAAGGGCTCCCATTATTAAACTCTTAGTTGGCAAAACTTTTGGAACCAAGCCCATTCCCAATCAGGACCTTCCTGTTCCTAAACTGTCAAGCTGCACCACTGGCTCAGGTCGCTGATTATAATGTTGGGAAATTTTCTTAAAGTCTGCCATCACAGCTATGCATACCTTTTA